TATATATATATATGTATATGACCTACAAAGCCGTGTCAGGTAGTTAGTTGATAATTATCGGAAGTTATCCTTGTAATTGAATTTGAGTAACGGTTCGTTAACTGAAAATTCAGTTGATAAATATCAAGAGATTATCCTTGATGTTCTCATCATGATATACTTACGTTGATTACATGAACGCATCACGTCTTAATTGAATGATATTATGTTCCAAGATTATTTACATGAAAACGTAATATAAAACTGAGGATAACAATTCGCGTTCCAGGTTGCTATAAAGGTAAATATAATTAGCTATCTTTTGATTAAAATCGAGATTAATTATTACTCGCAAACTACGGGAGAAAGTGTAGGGAGCGCCGAATGAATGTGAACAGAGGGGAGTTGTATGTATCCCTGTACACCGATGGCAACAGGAACTGTTATAAGATTTTGTGATAAATGTCATGTTCAACTTGAAAGTTGCCGATTTGGGGTGGTAAATATATATAAATGGCTATATATATAAATAGACTTTCACGACCAGGGTCAGTTAAACAGAACAAAATCCGAGCTATCAGGCCACGATGGAAAATAACTTGTAGTGTCAAACGTTTCGTCTGCAGAAGATATTTTCAGTTGTGTATGCATTGACTGCGAAGATAAAGGTTGCATTTCGTTGCTCATACCATGACCTAATAGCCCGGATTTTGTTCTCTTCGATTGAGATGTATGTGTCAAAATTATACCCAGCTTCAACTTCTAACTGTAAACTAAATCTCACTCTAAGGTGTTGAAATAGTGAAGTGGACTTGTGAGGAGTTTTCATGTTAAATCGTCTTCACCACTGTTTTTGAATGAAGATGCACAAGCACTTCAATAAAATCCTTAAAACAGCCAAATAGTAGACCCTGTGTATATAATTGAAGACACACTTTCAGGAAGTTCATTCCATAAGGACGCCGTTCTCCAAATGAACAGTTCCCAAAATATGGAGTTTGAGGTGTATTCGATTGAACCTCGAAGAGATAGGCAGCTGTATTTTGCCGCGCACTTCTGAAATATGTCGCTCTCGGTTGAGTCGAGCGGG